TAATTTGTGGTGGCAAATTCTTATCCCATGCAGAATTTTTGTATTATTTATTATTTTCTGTATTATTTATTATCTATTATTTTATTATTTATTTCCCATGGAAATAAAGATGGATGCTCCACACTTAGGTCAAAGGCGATTATTGTCTTTCAGGCAAACTAGTGTTTGTATGAACATGGAGCTTTCCCAACTTTGCTCAAGACCCCAACAGTCATTGGCAATCAGCCTAAGTTTGGATTCCTGCCAAAATGGAAGTATACTTCTTCCCAGCCTCCTCACACTTAGTTTCCACAGGAGACTCGGGGGGACTCTGTGGCATCTTCTATTCAACTTCATCCACTTTCACTTCTAGCTGAATTTTACACTACCTTCTCTTTTGGGTTCCTGGACTCAATTCCAATGTGGGAGGTGGAGTTAACCCACACCAACAAGCAATTCTTGGGACACCAGCTGACTGTCCTACAAGTCAATTTAATTCTGACACTATCTACCAAGAGATAGCATCAGACTCCACGGGTTAAGGGTTCAGTCCTACAAAACTGCCCCCTGCCCACTACTTAGATGCCAGTCGGTCCCAAGTCTAAGTTGTTACCAGTGCTTCTGACGGACTGGCTATAAACCAGAGGTTCCCACAACCCTTTCCTTGGGTTTGATTAATTTGCTACAGCAGCTCACATTAATTTGCTGCATCAGCTACAGCCCTGATGCAGAGGGCAGGGTATGGGGAAGGGTGTGGAGCTTCTGTGCCCTCCAGGTGCGCCACTCTCCCAGCTTCTACACTTGTTCACCAGCCCAGGAGCTGGCCGACCTATTCTTTGGGTTTGTTTGTTTTCGGGGGGGTGGGGGGGTGGGGAGAAAGAGTGAGCATGAGCAGGAGAGGGGCAGAGGGAAAGAGAATCTTAAGCAGGCTCCACAGTCAGCACAGAGCCTGACATGGGGCTCGATCCCATGACCCTGGGATCATGACCTGAACCAAAATCAAGAGTCAGATGCTCTACCGACTGAGCCACCCAGGCACCCCTCCTTTGCGTTTTATGGAGACTTCATTACTTAGGAAAGATTGATTAAATCTTGGCTATTGGCAACTGATTCAACCTCCAATCACTCCCTCGTTCTCCAGAGGTTTGGAGGGAGGTACTAGAAGTACCAACCCTCTAATCACCCTGTTGGTTTCCCAGGCAACCAGTCCCTATTCGTAGGTTACCAGAGGGCCCTCCAAATGTCACTTCATTAACATAACAAAAGGCAGCTTTATCACTCTTATCATAGGAGAGTCCAAAGGTTTTAGGAGCTTTGTGCCGGGAACTGGGTGGAACACCAAATATATATTTCTTACAAATCACAATATCACACTTTCCAAACCTCTTTGAAACTAGTTTTCTGGCAGCATCTGAATATCAGAGTACATTATCCGGAAAAAGAGAAGCATGGTTGCCGACGTATTGACAGGCAGAGAAAGAACATTGGGCCGTCTTCGTCTGCTTTGTACCACTTACCAGTGATCCCTGCCTGTGTCACGGTAACAACTTTATTAAGAAATGTGTTCTTGAGTAGTGAACTTACTCTATCAGACAAATAAAACCACAAATTTAGTTGAACTGGAAATCACTTGTTACTTTAACTATCATTATAACATAAATTGTAACAGTTACAACCGTCTCTGGGAGTACACGGATATTTTATAGCTATTGTAAATGAGCGGTATTACAGTTGGAGATATGTGGCTATAAAACCACAGGAAAGGTAGTTGAAGAAAGAACACCTGGTTACGTATAGGTTTCCAAGCCCTGCGTATCAAAAGACAGAAAATATGTGCTTCACTATCACCTTTTAAGGAATAACAGCAGGTTACTGTATATTTATGCACTACAGGGCTGCACACATTGGCTACAGATGGTTTAAAGAGTCCTGATTCCCAACCTGTGTGTGGCTCTATTCCGTGAATTAAACCCACCCCTGAGACCAACAGCACTTCCTTTCAAATAATTTAGGGATCTCATCTCTAGTCTTCTGGATAGAATTCATGGCATGGAACATTTGCTAGGTCCTAATTTTGTTTGTTTGTTTGTTTGTTTGCAGAAGCTCAAAATTAAAGGCAAATATCATTAGCCCCAGCTGACTGATGAAGAAACTGAACCAAAAGAGACATTTTAAAGCAAAATGCCACACCCCAGTAGTAAAAGGACAAACGTCATGAATAGACAATTCATAGAAGACATACATGTGGCCAATAAAATTAAAAAAAGACTCAACCTCACTACTTAGCAAATTTTTTTTAACTTTTTTTAATGTTTATTTATTTTTGAGAGAGAGAGACAGAGTTCGAGTGGGAGAGAAGCAGAGAGACAGGGAGACAGAATCCGAAGCAGGCTCCAGGCTGAGCTGTCATCACAGGGCCCCATGCGGGACTTGAACTCGTGAACTGTGAGATCATGACCTGAGCTGAAGTCAGACACTTAACTGACTGAGCCAACCACGCACCCCGCATTACGAGTCTTTAATATGTTCTCATTTCACACCTATTGAATTCTGTACTAAGTAAATACTTATTTACAAAAATGTTCAACAAAATATTAAATATGAAAGAATAACAAAAAGTAAAAACTCTAATTTCTAACAATAGGAAAAAGGATAAATAATTATCATGTAAGAAGACACTAGGCAACCGTTAAAATTCACATTTTAACAATATTCAATAATATGAGGAATACTCATAATAAAACATTAGCTAAAAAAGTAGGACATAGAACTTTCAAGTACAACCTTAGTTGTATTTTTCAGTATATACACAGATTATTCAAGAAAGTGAGATGGATGGAATGTAGCAAAGTATTAGCAGTGATTAGCATTAGAGGGTGAGATGACAGGTAATTACTTTCTTTTTCTATTTCTATATTTTCCAGTGTTTCTGCAATGAAAAAAAATACCACTTTTATGATGGAGTGTGGGGTTTGAGGAAATTATTTTGAAAACCAAAGTGAGCAAGGGAACACAGGACTTAGAAATGCAAATGTTGGCTTTGCAGTTGTAGGGGCGGGAAATTGTTCCCTTCTTCCTTTCTAGATTCTTTGGTTGGTCTAATAAAATTCACATGAGACAGATTAATAAGAGGAAAACCAATTTAATTTTGCACTTATGGAAACCCCACAAAAACACAAGAGGCTCAAAGACAAGCAATATGAGGCTTCTAGACCATCCTGAACTAAGAGATGAGAGAGGGTGCCTGGGGCTCCAGGGCGGGGAGGAGGGTAATTCACAGGATGAGGAGGAGAATAAGAGCAGATGTTTAGTAATTACACGTTGGTCCTGCCATACAGATAGGTCATTCTGATAAAAAGTAATCTCGGGTAATAGCTCTGTTCCTGAACCAGGCCTCCTATCTAACTGAATTCTTTTAGGTAGTTAAGGAAGGGATCAAAGTTTTTCTTAAACCTGCTGGGTCTTCACTGACCTCAGCTCAAAATGATACAGATAAGAACTGTCTTTGGATCCGACTTCCACGTGGAATCCTAAAAACACCTGAACTCAGATACAGAGAATAAATTGGTGGTTGTGGGACAGGGGGTGGGGGACAGGAAGGGAAATGGGTGAAGGTGATCAAAAGTATAAACTTCCAGTTATAAAAGAGATAAGTCCTGGGGATGTAACGCACAACATGGTGACTACAGTTAATAGGACTGTGTCATACATTTGAAAGCGGCTGAGAGAGTACATCTTAAAAGTTGGCATCACAAGACAAAAAAATGTGTAACTGTGTGGAGATGAATGCTGATGAGACTTATTCTGGTGATCACTTCACAATATATACAAATACTGAGTCGTTGTGCTGTACGCCTGAAACTAATGTTGTATGTCAATTATATCTCAAAGAATGAAAAGAAAAATTTTTAAGTAAAAAAATTTTTAAAAATCTCATTCTGAACCGAGATTTGAAAATTGGACTCTTGAGACTTGTAGAGGCTTCACAACTGGGTTTCAGAGCCCCTCTTGAGATTTCGTGTAAAACATTCCTGTTTGTGTGTACGTGCATTTTTCTGGGGGCACGGTACATAGCTTTAAGGTATTTAAAGGGATCCTTGTCCACAGAAGTTAAAAATGAACATAGAGTTTAGCTGAGTAGTGAGTGAATCAGCTTAGTTCAACTATGATTAATGTAGTCAAGCCCTATTGTCGGTTTCTCTCCTTTCCTCATTAGCCAGATATTTAACATGCTGTTCCAGATCACACTGCAATTCCTACAGATATAAATCTAGTACACCAAACTACAGTCACCTTGGAATCTGACACACGGCCCATGCAAAAGCCTAACCTAAATGAAAAAAAGTAATTATATTTTTAAAATAACAATCGCTAATAATATTTTTACATTTCTCCAGGTATCTGTATATGTAGTCTTATAATACAGTGGTAATATCACTCCCATTTCACAGATAAGAAAACTAAGCCCCTGATACAAGAAATGACTTGGTGTACAGGCAAGCAGCTAATTAAATGGCTCCTGAGTCCTGGGTCACTGCTGCGGACACTTGTCAAAGTCTCTCCTTTTTCATTTGAAGGACAGCAGAATTTGCCACGCTAAAATATGCCTTTTTGGCATAAAGATTATTGTGGACTGATTTTAAGAAACAGCAGATACAGGAGAAGCTCTGAAACCCAAGTAGAAGTTACCCTTTTGGAAGAGGCATTTGCTGTTTATCAGGGAAATCTCCATGTGTAAGGGCGTCTCCCTCTCTGTACCAGGAAGAGGAGGATGGCCCTAAATCTTTAGAAACTCTTACAGTGGAAAAGGTGAGGACTTAAATCTGCATAAAAACCATACCCTGGTTTACTGTGCTTTGTCTGAAAACCTCCCGTATCTGGCCTTCCCTCCTCCCCACCGCCAACATCTTCTTTGGTCTTTCGCTCCAGGTGGATTTAAGGTGTTGGCTGCACGATTATGAACGCAGTTGATGAGACGAACCGAAGCAGTGCTTAAAAGGTATCTTATATCTGTTTTGTAGGCCCATAACCGAAACCTGCTGTCCATAGATTTTGATCACATAACTCGCACGGGAAAGATCTACGATGACCACCGGAAATTCACCCTTCGAATTCTTTACGACCAGACGGGACGACCTATTCTGTGGTCTCCCGTAAGCAGATACAATGAAGTGAACATCACATATTCACCTTCAGGGTTGGTGACATTCATTCAAAGAGGGACGTGGAATGAAAAAATGGAATATGACCAGAGTGGAAAAATAATTTCAAGAACTTGGGCTGATGGGAAAATTTGGAGCTATACCTACTTGGAAAAGGTAAGTATGTAAGGACAAGAAACTACTTCTGAGTTTCTGAATGAGAATATTGCAAATGGTCCTAGTTACCGATCTTGGCGAGGAGACGTATAGGAGAAAAAAGTCTGTTCTCGCTGTTCGGTTCTGTTCAAGTAACAACAACAACAAAATGAATGTATACGGAGAAGCTGTTTTTCAGCTGAAAACTTTCCCCAACTGCACACTCTGCCAGGTACTCTTTCAAACTGAAGTCAGGATAATGGCTTAGCTTTCTCCTTATTTGAGCGTATTTGCTACCGCTCTTGAAAAGGTATCTTCATTATTCTGAAAGCTCACACTGAGGTAAAATAAGTGGAAAATTATAAAATTGTGTGTTAATGTGTCTCAGCTCTGGAGAAGAGCCTCTTACACAGAGCATCAGGAATTCGGATTTTGTTAGGATAATCGGTGAAGTTTTAGTAGTATACATTTCAGGACTAATTTTCACAAGTAATCAGTCTGAGCAAATGGTGGCAGTGAGGCCTCATTGGTGACAGTCCTTTGTGTACAGTGAGTCTCCAGCAGCACCTGTAACGGCAGACATAGACAATGATTTTAATCCCACCACTGGAACCATTTATCAGACAGCCACCACATAGCAAAATGGTTTCTGGCCACATCAGCAGCAGAGAACAGTAAGGGAAATTGATTTCTATCCCTCCATCTCAATTTCTGATGTGCTAAGATGGTGTCTCTTGTTTCCCAAATCTATCCGTTCAACTGGATCCATCAGTCCTGAATTAATTTCTGGGAAAATTGAAAAATGCTTTCCCTTGAGGATTTAAGGATAATCACAGCAAGTTAACCCCTAAAAGTTCTTACAGAAGTCATAGGAACTCATAGCTCACATGACAGATTTTCGCTATTTGCACCAAATAATGCCAAGCCTTTCTCTCTAGTTTTTTAATGTTTATTTACTTTTGAGAGAGAGAGAGAGAGAGAGACAGAGTGCAATCGGGAGGAGCAGAGAGAGAGGGAGACACAGAATCGGAAGCAGGCTCCAGGCTCTGAGCTGTCAGCACAGAGCCTGACGCAGGGCTCGAACCCATGAGCCGTGAGATCATGACCTGAGCCGAAGTCGGACACTTAACTGACTGAAGCACCCAGGCACCCCAATGCCAAGCCTTTCTGATACACTCCCCAAAGTTTTGAGGGAAAAAAAGCGTGCCAATGGTTGTATGTCACCATAAAACTGTAACTACTTCCCAGAAGCAGTTGCTAGAGAATTTGCCAAATTGCAAATGCCTAGCAGATAAAACAGAATTCTACTTGGGAGTCAGGGTAAAGAAGGGAGTCCTCTGCTATATCCACCCCTTGTCTGCTGAAGAAATAGATCAAATCTATCATCTGTACTCTATGCTGGGAACATCTGAATCTTATAGAGTAGGTCTTTCCTCTTGAATTTTGGTAACAAGAATGATTTGCAAAATCCTATGGCTCATGTCCTACGAAGCGCTAAACATGGTACAAAATTAAATGAATCCCATTGCATGGGAGACGCATGTAGCGACCTTCATATGAAAAAAAGATGCCAGGGTTGCCTGGGTGGCTCAGTCGGTTAAGCGTTCAACTCTTAATCTCGGCTCAGGTCATGATCTCGAGGTTCTTGGGTCTGAGCCCCACATGGGGCTCTATGCTGACAGCGTGGAGCCTGCTTGGGATTGTGTCTCTCCTTCTATCTGCCCCCCCACCCCCACTTGTTCTTCCTTTGTCTCTCTCTCGCTTTCTCTGTCTGTCTCTCTCTCTGTCTCTCAAAAATAAATAAACATATTGTAAATTTTTTTGAAAAGATGCCCCTGATTATTAGATTATAAGCTGATTTGTTTTTCAAGGAATGAGGATGCGTTTGCACTGACCCCTCCGCAGGTCGCACATGTGGCTAGTGAAGTAGCCAACACTCCCTAGGAGCCGCATGGGTTTGAACTCCTAACCCCAGCTTCATTAGCACGTAGTTTGCACACTGAGCTCCAACTGCCTGTGGACAGTTGCGTCTGAGTCTCTAAGACTTTTCCTTTATGCTGTCTGTACAAAAACGAAAAAGCCTATCGAAAACCTAATGTTTAACCCTGAGTGTAGCCTCTTTGACACCAAGGAAGTGATTTTATTGTTTCTCTTTTCTGAATTAGCTGATTATTTCATCGAACTTTCCTCAGCAAAGAATCACGTGAAGTAAATTTCACGTAAGTTCTCTTTGCTACAGAAACTTAGTTGGCAATAACTCTTTAAAAGCAAAACAAAAAACCCCAACTGTATCCTGCAGTGGACAGAAATAAGACCTGACTGATGTGTCACGTATCAAGAGAAGCCCTAGTGACTTCCAGAGACTAGTTTACTGACCAGCGAGACAAGCCCAAATCACGTGTGCCTTTTAGTTGACTTTTGTCCCTTTCTTGAGTTCACGTTTAATTTGTTCTTTAATTAAAAAGTAGCTCCTGACTTCAGCAATCCTATTATGCAAAACTCAGAACGTGCAAAGCCCACAATTTTGGAATGGCTCTTTACTTTCCAAAAAATCATGTATCATGAGATGGAGTTTATTAACATTATAATTACCAGCAATAATAATGCATTCAATGAATAGATGTGATGATTAAGTGAAATAACTTAATATAAAGCACCCAGGACATCTTTCAATAAAAGTTAGTTTCTTTCCATTTCCATTTGCATTATAGCATTTACTTTTCAGTCCAGAACAAACGCCACTTACTTGCTGCTCCTGGTAGGTAAATTCAAACAAGGAAGGAAAGGAGGAAGGAAAATGAAGGAAGAAAAAAAGAAAATTAAAGCATTTTTCAAATTGTGATGCTAGAAAGAAGAAAAGGGGGGAAGCATATTGAATTTTACCAAAGTCCAACTTCCATGTAGCTTTTCCAGTGAAGTGATGAGGTTCTGTGTCTTCTTGTGCTCTTTTCTGTCCTCTGTGACATGGCCTTTGCTGGCACGTTCTTTCACTACGTGTGGGGCAGAGCAAACACAAAGACACTGGCTCTCATAGTATATTTTAAAGTAAGGATTCTCGGGGCGCCTGGGTGGCTCAGTCGGTTAAGCATCCGACTTCAGCTCAGATCATGATCTCACAGTCCGTGAGTTGGAGCGCCGCGTCGGGCTCTGTGCTGACAGCTCAGAGCCTGGAGCCTGCTTCCGATTCTGTGTCTCCCTCTCTCTCTGCCGCTCCCCTGCTCATGTTCTGTCTCTCTGTGTCTCAAAAATAAATAAAAACATTAAAAAAAATTTTTTTTTAAGTAAGGATTCTCAAGCTTGAAAACGTAGACCTCATTTTATATCTCAAAATCCATCTGGTGTTATCTCTGTAAATTTGCTTGCCATCCCTATACCATGTTATATTCAAAACAACAGCAGATAGTTCACCTTAACGTGCAGAAATTTTGTCCAAATTACATGACTTCCTCTAGAGCAGGTGAAAGATACATGTATCATTTTCATGCACAATGGTCTCCAAGCCATTAGAAGAAAAATAATTTGGGTAATAGCTGCGGTTGCTTAAAGGAGCTCTTCTCTATTAAAAAAATCAATTATTGTTTCTTAAATTTTCTCTATGTGGTCATTAATTCTCTATCTTGATTTATGAGACTTCTCTGAGTTAATTATATTTTGAAGACTTGTGGGGCTAAAATTTTGTATTACAGTAAATGTAAATCTTTCGGTTTCCTAAAATCGTTCTTAAGGACTTCATTTTTAAAATGCATTTAAAGATATTTTATAATCATTTAATAAGATGCTTTAGCCTGATACATTTACACAAAATTGCCTCTTTGGGGCTGAAATTTCCAAAGGCTGCCTCGGGGGATACAATACACTGTACGTAGCTTGAGCTTCCAGGTGGCCCCACACTGCCATCTGGTGGTTGTTCAAGTGCTTTAGCTTTACAAATTTCTACCATCTCTCATTTCTATCTAGTCTCGTTCAAATGAATATCCGTGCTTGTTCTTTCTTTCTTCTTTACAATGCTCTCTTTTAGGATCCCACAACCAATTAAAAAAATACGAAGTCTCCCACTCTATTGTTTGCACTCTTAAGAAATGGCCTTTTATCCCGCCGTAGCAGCACTGTGGGCACTGGATGGACTCATAGGCATTGTTATTGAACAAACTGATAATAATGCCCACCCAAGTGAAAAGGCAGCCAAGTGAGAGCTAAATGGTATTCTGGCAACACCACAGTTACATTCACGAGATTTCTAATCGCATCATCCGCATTCTCGCCACTGGCAGAAAGCTTTAAAACAGACCGGGGAGCTTTTGAGAGAGCACGGCATCAGCACCACCTAGGAACGGGGTCAGGCAGTGGTTCACTGCAGCGCAGTGGATGAGACGGGAGTGGGGGGGGGGGGGGAGGGGACAGTGGCGATGTGCTACAAATGTTTGGCAGGGCGCATACAGCGACTGGGAAAGGCATGGCCCAGGCAGGCTGGTACGAGATAATGCGTGGGAGCCATATGGTGATTGTCCCTGGCCTGCATCGCAGGTGACAGATGTCATTTGCTCGTGGCAAACTGACAGGACAGAGTGGAAAGGAGCTAAGAAATCGGACTGGGAGCATAGGGTAATGCAAAGGCATCTTCCGCCAGCTGCCCCCAGGGTCTGTGGGTTCTGCCTCAGTCAAGGACGTGGTTCTCCCTTCGTGTCCTCATGCCCACACAGAAAAGCCAAGTCTCCTGCCTCTCTGTTCAGTGGGAGTGCCTCTGTTTTGGAGCTGCATGTTGTCCACAGGTGATGAGGTGACAGGGTTTCCGCACGCAGCTCTGTACCCGCGAGGCAGAGTACTTGGTGGGGAAAAACAGGATGAACAAAGGAGAAAATAACTGCTGACTTTGACTTCACGGTCCTGACATGCGATTCCAAATCAATAATTCTCAGAAGGGCAGGGAGGATATGCAGTTTCAAGAAATACATTTAATATTAGAATCTAGTTTCATGTTTAGAAGGTTTAAGTGTACATTATGTGTGCTTATGCAATTTGTATTCATAAATATTAATGTAATTTATGTTTAGAAAATGAAAAGATACCTATCATTTACATAACACAAACTTCAGAAAATAAAGCTCAACTAAATCCTTTTGCTTGATAAGGTAATTTTCAAAAAGGGAAGGGAAAAGCGTCCTTAGAGTGTTACATGAGAATCTCCGGGGCTGAGAGTTTTTTTAATTTTTATTAAAAGATGAGATTTAAATGCTTTTCAGTTAGAAATAGGATTGAGTCCCCTGTAAAACAGTGCTCCTTCTATGTTTGTACTTAAAGTTAAAATAAGGTAAAACCAATATCAGTGAAATACCTAATTACATGCGAGGCATTATACCTCAACAAATAACTGTTTCTGAAATACAGATCAGTTTGGAGGAAAGGGGTTGTATATCCAGAGAATTCTTCACTTCTAATGGCATGTTCCCCTAATATAGTTTAAAATATGAATTGCTTGTCAACTACAGTCCAATATTTTTAAAACGTCAACTATAGGGGCTCCCGGCAGGCTCAGTCAGTAGAACATGCGACTCTTGATCTCAAGGTTGTAAGTTCGAGCCCCACGTTGGACGTAGAGATTACTTAAAAATAAAATTTTGAAAAAATGTCAACGGTACTCAAATAAAAAACCAACTAAAACACAAATTGCAAAGCAGTAATAATAACATTTTGCGTACAACTTTTGAGGAAGACATTTACGACTATGTGAAGTCAATGAATACTTTTTTGGTGACCATAACTCCACATGTGGCATGCCTCACCCTCCATTTACCTCCCTCCAGTCCATCGCCACGTGGATGCTTCTCCGCAAACAGTAACCTTTCTGGAATATTGACCGATTGCTTCTCCCAGCTCTGCCAGCACCCCGCCCTTTGACTTGCTTTCAGTGGTTCCCTGTGGCCAACATGTTTAAGTCCGGTCTCTAGCATGGCTTAGAAAGCCCAGCATAATCTGGACCCAGCCTACTTAACTGGCCTTGTCTCTTGCCAGTCACCATCCCCTCCCCTCCAACACACCCACGCTCTGGCCACATGAAATTGCTCTCATCCTCTGAAAAGCCATCTCTCTTATCCAGCCCCTCACAATGCTGTGCTCTTGTCAGGGGCACTCTCTCCCTACCCTGCGCCCCCCCCCCCCATTTCCTTTCCTTCACCCGGCCAAGCCTTGGTCATTCTTTAGGTCTCGACTCGGAAGTCACTTCCTCCAGGAAGCCTTTCCTCACCTCTTAAGTCTGGGTTAGCTGTTCTTCCTCTGCTAGGCACCCTGTCCTTCCTCTGTCATAACACGTTTCACACTATATTGCAGTTGCTTGGTTGCTTGTCTTCCTCCTCCCTTAAACTGTAAGCTCCATAAGGTTAGACACCGTGACTGCCCACTACTGTATCCACTAGGGTCCACCACAGTGCCTGGCACGTAGTAAGTGCTCGATAAATCTGTGTTGAATGGATGAATGCGTTTCTTCTCCTCAACTTCAGTGGTACATAATACACTATTTCGCCTTTGTCTCGTTTCAGTCTGTGATGCTTCTCTTACATAGCCAGAGGCGTTACATCTTTGAGTATGACCAATCAGACTGTCTGCTCTCGGTCACCATGCCTAGTATGGTGCGCCACAGCTTACAAACCATGCTTTCAGTGGGCTACTACCGGAACATCTACACCCCACCAGACAGTAGCACCTCTTTCATCCAAGACTACAGTCGAGATGGCCGACTGCTACAGACCCTGCATCTGGGAACAGGGCGCAGAGTGTTATACAAATACACCAAGCAAGCAAGGCTGTCTGAGATTCTCTATGATACCACTCAGGTCACATTAACCTATGAAGAGTCTTCTGGAGTGATTAAGACAATACACCTGATGCATGACGGCTTCATTTGCACAATCAGATATAGGCAAACAGGTTTGTTGTGAAACGGTGGGGATGTGTACAATCGTACCAGTATTTTCTTATGAAATTTTTGCCGGCCACAGTGTGAAATAGAATCATTATCCTGCAGACATTCAATCCAACACGTGTTCCCTTTAGTTATTAAATTATCTTCCTTTGAAAATTAAAAACCTGCTATAGACTGCATGAAAGGTGATCCCTTAGGAAACCACCACACATCTCTTTGTCCCTGTCTTGGCTCTCAGAAACGTTGAGATCAGAGAACCTAGTCTGTGTGCTCATTTGTAGCTCACCACCAAATCATCCCAAAGGTGCAGCTGCAAGATTTGAGCCTCACTGAAACGAGCTCAAGCCCCATGTGACCTCTATAAGCCTCAGCTGATGGCAAAATATGTTCAAAAGTCAGTACTTTTGAATCTGTTTCATCCCTTGAGCTTGGAAAATGCCAAATTCAGTTACTTTAATGCTGGGCTTCGTGCAAATCTGACCTGCTGATTTTGTAGCACGGGTTAAATGAATTAAAAGCATTCTTGTCAGTGATTATAACAAGAAAGTGTGTTTATAATATCAGTTTCCTCACCCCAAGCTACCGGATGGGTTATTACTTACATAGGTCCTATAGTTAAATCATTCTATAACATACAGTATTTTTTCATATTTAATGACCACAACTGTGAGGACGTATCTATGAGATGATACGCTTTCGGTATCAGAGGTCAACCTCTAATATCTTATTTCGAACGTAAAAGCATTGCTGCTAAGGAAAATAACACGAGACCTTTCTGATTGTTCACCATTACGCATCTAGCTCTGTTCTCATTATTTTTATTTTGATTCCTCAGGACCTCTTATTGGACGCCAGATCTTCAGGTTCAGTGAAGAAGGTCTGGTGAATGCTCGGTTTGACTACAGCTACAACAACTTCCGCGTCACCAGCATGCAAGCTGTGATCAATGAAACCCCTTTGCCCATAGATCTGTACCGATATGTTGATGTTTCTGGTAGAACAGAGCAGTTTGGAAAATTCAGTGTAATTAATTACGATTTAAATCAGGTCATAACTACTACGGTGATGAAGCATACCAAGATTTTCAGCGCCAGCGGACAAGTTATCGAAGTCCAATACGAAATCCTAAAGGCAATTGCCTACTGGATGACTATTCAGTATGATAATATGGGGCGTATGGTGATATGTGATATAAGAGTGGGAGTGGATGCCAACATAACCAGATACTTCTATGAATACGATGCTGACGGGCAGCTGCAGACTGTTTCCGTAAATGACAAAACCCAGTGGCGTTACAGTTATGACCTGAATGGAAACATCAACCTCTTAAGCCACGGGAATAGTGCTCGTCTTACTCCTCTCCGATATGACCTCCGAGACCGCATCACCAGACTAGGAGAAATTCAGTATAAAATGGATGAAGATGGCTTTCTGCGGCAGAGGGGAAATGACATATTTGAATATAATTCTAATGGTCTGCTGCAGAAAGCCTACAATAAGGCTTCTGGCTGGACTGTGCAGTATTACTACGATGGGCTCGGGCGACGTGTCGCCAGTAAGTCCAGCCTAGGGCAGCACCTTCAGTTCTTTTATGCAGACCTTGCCAATCCCATAAGAATTACTCATTTGTACAACCACACGAGCTCAGAGATCACATCCCTGTATTACGATCTCCAAGGTCACCTCATTGCCATGGAGCTAAGCAGTGGTGAAGAATATTACGTAGCCTGTGATAATACGGGCACGCCACTGGCTGTGTTCAGCAGCCGAGGTCAGGTGATAAAAGAGATCTTGTACACGCCTTATGGAGATATCTACCATGACACTTACCCTGACTTTCAGGTCATCATTGGTTTTCATGGAGGACTCTATGATTTGCTTACTAAATTAGTGCACCTGGGGCAAAGGGATTATGATGTTGTTGCTGGTAGGTGGACAACGCCTAATCATCACATATGGAAACAGTTGAACCTCCTTCCTAAACCATTCAACCTCTACTCCTTTGAAAATAACTACCCAGTTGGCAAAATTCAAGATGTTGCAAAGTATACCACAGGTACAAAGCTTTACACTAAACTTGAAATAACTCGGTGGTGTTTATCACATAATCTCCGTGCCTTTGTAAATATGCTTCCTCTTCCTGCCAGTTAGCCCACAAGTTATTATGCAGTCACTCTCTTCCTTAGTTTTCTAGGGCAAGCAAAACTGTGCAGGTGGCATAGAACACGATGCTTTTGCATCCCAGTGCATTGTTTCTTTCCTTTTAAGCTTGCTGTTTGTAGTTTTCACTCTTCAAAGCTTATATGAATGGTTTCATTTAAAAACTTCAGGATTATGTTCCATCAAATAAACCTAATATTACGGTCTGTGTGGCCTCAGTGCCACCACCATATTAAGAGATTCAACGTGGGGCGCCTGGGTGGCTCAGTCGGTTGAGCATCCGACTCTTGGTTTTGGCTCAGGCCATGATCTCACAGTTTGTGAGTTCAAACCCCACGTTGGGCTCCATGCTGACAGTGTGGAACCTGCTTGGGATTCTCTCTCTCCCTCCCTTTGTCTCTCTCTGCTCCCCCCTGCTTGCTTGCTCGCTCTCTCTCAAAAAATAAATTAAAAAAAAAATTTTTTTAAGAGTTTCAATGCTGTAAACCCAACCCATCTCTGTGATTCTCCACGAATCAAAAGGTTTCCCAGTAGAGAGTGGATCATAGGCTTTGGAGCAGGTGATAGAAGGGGGAGTTCTATCCCTAATTTCCCACTGGCTGAACATACTGAAGGCAGGGGAGGCATCATTCAAGCTTTCCACAAAGGTTGTAAACTATGGGCTTCATCATTTGTTTTCCTTTTCTGTTCTGTGCCTCACAGACATTGGAAGTTGGCTGGAGCTATTTGGTTTCCAGCTACACAATGTTCTACCTGGATTCCCCAAACCAGAATTAGAAAATTTGGAGTTAACTTATGAGCTTCTCCAGCTTCAGACAAAAACTCCAGAGTGGGATCCCGGAAAGGTTAGTAAAACTTTTACCGTCTCTATGTATCTAAAAAAACGAACAAACAAACAAACAAACAAAACAAAACAAAACAAAAAACCAGAGGAGCATCCAACACCCCGAGATGGCATTAACATATATTTCCTTCCTTATTTTTGAGTCATCTTGAATATTCACTAAAATATCCATGATTAATGAGGAGGCAGAAAAAAGCTTCCATGAGGAAAGGATCAGGGAATCAGAGCTTTTAGGAAAGACAAGGCCAATATGGCACTTGGTGACCTGCTGAAGTAGACAAACAAGAGGAAGTCAACTTTTACAATTCTGCAACGGCCTACCAAGGGCAATTATGGACTCTGTATAGAGAAAACTGTTCACTGACAGATGTAAAATCTTCAGATTTCCAACAGCAAAATAATTTAGGGTGTGGTGCATTAAGAGCATGGGAAGAACAGAAATTATTCTGACCAAGAAAAAGTACATAAGATCAGTGAAGTGAAAGTAATAAAGAGTATAGGGGTAAAGTCTCTGGGAAAAAGGAATGCCAGACTAGTCACTGTTTAACAGGTCATTTCATCAAGAGGATGAGGAACAAATGGAAACATGAAGTAACTTTTCCTTTCAATTGAAAGAAATAGAGGAGTGTCTCTTTGCAAAAAAAAAAAAAATACTTCAGAATAAAACTGATATTTGGGTGGGAGGGCTTGAAATTTAAGTGTAAAAAATTATAAGGAAAAGGCAATTTTAAATGGGTGCTATAGGCTTATCCCTAAATACATATAATATGTAAAAGTAATTTTTATAATTAAAACATCATTAAAAGTCCTTTTTGTAATTAAAAATCCTTTTTTAAAAAGTTAATAAAAATGTTGAAAATTGCTGAAGCCCTGTTATGGACACTTGGCGGTTCACCATTCTATTTCTTAGTATGTTTGAAAATGTCCACAATAGAAAGGGTTGTTTTTGGTTTTGTTTTGAAGTCCTCATAAGAAGATCTTCTTGCTGCTTTGCTGTGGTTATTTATAAGGTCATAATCTGTTTAAAGCCAAGAATAATGCCTTAAGCCATCTCTGCTCCTCACGGTGGCTCATGTATTACACCACGTACGGTAACAGATCGTATTAGTTACATTGGTGAAAACGAAAGGTCTTTGTTTTGGGGGAGCTGGCCCCATGTAACTTGAAGCGACTTTTGGCTCCAAGGTTCTAGTACATTTCCTTAGGCTTAACTCACCAAGACATCAAGAAATATAGCCAGGTGGCCAAGTAACCCGTTAGTCTTGTCTTTGCCAAATCTCTGATGAAGAGAGTCCAAATTTATCTTGCTTTGAACTCACTCACCAGCACCGTAAAGCAAGAAGGTGCTTTCCACAGTCCCCAAGCATGACAGGTGTCTGACCCTGTGCTGCATTTTTGCACTGTGCCTTTCTTCTCTCCTAGACTATCCTAGGTATTCAGTGTGAGCTCCAGAAACAGCTCAGGAATTTCATTTCCCTGGACCAACTTCCTATGACTCCCCGATACAATGATGGACGGTGCCTTGAAGGAGGGAAGCAACCGAGGTTTGCTGCTGTTCCTTCTGTTTTTGGAAAAGGTATAAAATTCGCCATCAAGGATGGCATAGTAACAGCCGATATTATAGGAGTAGCCAACGAAGATAGCAGGCGGCTTGCTGCCATTCTCAATAATGCTCATTACCTGGAAAACCTTCATTTTACCATAGAGGGGAGGGACACTCACTACTTCATTAAGCTTGGGTCTCTGGAGGAAGACCTGGTGCTCATCGGGAACACTGGGGGGAGGCGGATTCTAGAGAATGGTGTCAATGTCACTGTGTCCCAGATGACCTCTGTGTTGAATGGGAGGACTAGACGGTTTGCGGATATCCAGCTCCAGCACGGGGCTCTGTGCTTCAACATCCGGTATGGGACAACTGTCGAAGAGGAGAAGAATCACGTGCTGGAGATTGCCAGACAACGCGCGGTGGCCCAGGCCTGGACTAAGGAACAGAGAAGGCTGCAAGAAGGGGAGGAGGGTATTCGGGCATGGACAGAGGGGGAAAAGCAGCAGCTTTTGAGCACTGGGAGGGTACAAGGTTATGATGGGTATTTTGTTTTGTCTGTCGAGCAGTATTTAGAACTTTCTGACAGCGCCAACAATATTCACTTTATGAGACAGAGCGAAATAGGCAGGAGGTAACAAAAAACATCTCTGCCTTTGCGTCACCAAAGACTGCCTGTTTTTAAAACATAAAATGGTTTGTTGTATTGGTTTTCTAGATCAGAACTCTGTATATGTAAATATGGAGGAAAAACATATCCAACTGCCTTTCAATGTGACGGAAGATGGTATTTTAATATTGTTTGTCTAAACTCTTTAAGAAATGAGAGATTTTTAGTTCTTGTGTGGCAGTATTCAAAATAACACAAGTAAAACAGCTAAAAAAAAAAAAAAAAAAGTTTCCAGAAAGCACCACTTTAAATTTGTCGAACCATGCACATGAGTTCAAGTATAAAGAACCCAAGGTTCTACGTATCTCTACTGTGACGCGAAAGTTTCACGTTTAACTGTTGGCAGAACTTGCGAGCTATCTGAAAATGTGGTGCGATAGTGTTCTGAACCTTGCATTTCGAAAGACTGCCGGCCCTTTCGCATTTTCCAGATCCATTATAGGAAACTTAACAAGTGGAAAATGGCGTCCGCCACCATCTCCCAGAGTCACAACCCATTTGCCCTTCCTCCCTGATTATTCCTCCTTGCTTGTTAAAGTAAATGCCATGTTGTTGTGCTGTGTTTGGCGTGCGGTGGCCGGATTCTGCCTACCATGCTTCCCTGTGGGTGTGGTAACAGACTGAAATGCCACTATTTGCTCATGTGTACGTGATACCAAGGCAGCTGGCCAATGGAACGTCTCCTGCACAACCTGTTTTGACTCCATTTTTTCACCAAATTGTCTGGCTGTATTGGTGTCAGGTAAACATAGCTTCTATTAACCTGGGTAGGAATTACTCATCTATATATAGGGTGTGTTTTGGTCATAGTTTCACATTAGTGATTCCATATTTATACACTAATCCAATGGTTTTGTGCACACGAAAGGTAATTTACTACAAATGATTCTGGTACAGAAAAAAAAAAAAACAAGAGGTTTTAGCAGGCATACATGCCTGGGATGCTGATAAATACATTCACTACTGCAGAAATTCAGAAGAGCCAAAACCTTAAAAAAAAAAAAAATAGACCTAGTACTAAGACAAAAGGAAAGCACCAAAGGGAACATCACAGTAGTTGCTGCCACATTGATTCATACCACTTAGATTTATCTTTCAAATGTACAATTCTGTATGGGACATCTCCCCTCCATAGTCAGGAAATTTAATTAAGTGAACCCTTTCCAATCGAAAACATTTCAACTGATTATAGAGAGGCAGACTGTTTTTTACCAAAACAATTGATACTTGAGTTATTTTAGTTCTCTGTCTTTACCCGTTTATTTTGATTTAATCATGTGTCCTGCCTAGGAAAATAACTATTTTCCAGAAAGGGTTATTTTTGTTCCATGATCATTTAAACTTCGGAAAAAGATCAGGATTAGTGTTAATATCAGTTGCGGTTCCTCAATCTTTATGAATCCTGTAGCAAAAAGAAGCCCCTTGGTGAGCTAGGAGATTTGTGCCCAGTGACAAAGAGACAGTTTGTAAAATGCTGCGTAATTGTAAGTTACCACAAATGAAAAGACATGACAGCACAATGTGGCCTGCAGAAAATTCCCCTGAGCCAGCTTCAGCACTTTCATCCCTGGGTCTGGATATTTGCTATGTCTGAAGGAGGATTTATGATGGAGTGTTACAGTTTGGATTCTTTCCAGCTGCTACCTAAATGCAGTGTGGGGTCATTGCCTTGCTTGGTGATGACGGTTTCCTTTGAAAATATGCGAAGTCAGAATCCGGGCTCACGTTAAGGTTTGGAAAGAGTCTGGCTCCTTACTCCACCAAGTAGAGGGAGGAAAAGGCAAGGACCCGCAGACAGTAGGGGAGGGTGTATCCAAACATTTCATTTTCAAAAACATCAGGTTGGGGTTACCACATTCTTACGTGTGTATTCTGAGAGACACAGAGAGACCGAGAGAGAATTCATGATGAACTCCTCTCTCTTTTTGATTGGAAGCACACCAGCTCAAGAAATTACTAATCCAGACTATAATCATATTATTTTTTTTTCTGAATCAGGCCTGTGTTAGTGGTATACTGTTTATTCAGGATGGGATTCTAAAATTATGAACCAACTTGTTGGAAATTTGAATACCTCCACACCAGCCTAAAAATGGACCTTATGTTCCTAGAACCTCTGATGTTCTTTTAAATCAATGGAAAAATAATTTGTGAACTGTATATAGAGAGTGCATTCATAAATGTGATGATGTATTTTATCACTAATCCAAGATGTCAATATTAGAGTCTATTTTGCTTATATTTTAAGCGATTATTATACTTTTTGCAATTCACTGATGATGTATCATTTTCAAACTGCTTTAAATATCCATTAGAAACAAATATTTGAGGCTTTTACTTAATAGTAATTACCTTGAACTGTGCATTTCTAGTTTGTAATACATATTTATTTAGTTTGTGCCTTTAGTTTCTTAAAGTTACATTTGTATTATATTCAGGAAATGCACTTTTTATCACTTATAGCTGTGGTTTTAATACTGCCTTGAACTATTATTACTCTCTTTACCTCTCCCGAAGTTTGTGGGAGGAAAGAGGAAAAAAAAAAAACCCAAAAGGTTAGCGCTAATGCACAGTAAATCTAAGAGAAACATTTTGGCATTTCTTAATAAGAACGTGGAGACGTGGGGTACATCGTTCAGCTGAATACAAAGAATGCCGTCATTGATTTGTAATTCTGAAGTTTAAATTAGCGAAAGAACACTTTGTTTGCATTCCCTGATGAAAGTGAATGCATCTTACAGAGAAACACGAATTTCTCACACCCAGAGCACAGGCACAGGCAGCTGACACTGGACAGCCACACGCTATTCAAGTTAGAATGAGGGCACTCTAGTTGGGCTCTCATGAAGAACATTCTGGGCCAGAGGCAGGGAATACTCTGTGGTTGTTTCTTTTTCCTAGTTAGGCCCATTTTATTCTATTTTGTTCTGTTTTTACTCTTGCACTACAGTCTAGAGATCCAAATGAACTGCAAAGTTCACTTTAGCAGACATTTAAATACATTTATTTTCAGTTGTCATTCTAATCATTATTGATTAGAAGCATGACTCCTGAAGGAAAGGGAAATAAAGCCCAATTCATAAACTAATTTCTAGCAAAACACTCTCCACATAAATAGGCATATGTTTTATTTTTAACCCAGCAAAACACTGTGTAAAATAAGCGTGTCCTTTACTGTCAATTTATCTAGAAGATCTATAATATAGAGACTATATATATAGAATATAATATATATACCACATAGCCAAATGTATAAAAACTTGACGATGTATAATTTGGAATTCACATGCTAACCACATAGGTATAAAATTGAATGATACTTTTTCTAAGATTTTTCTTTTTCATTCTGATCAACACCATGTCAAGCATCCTATCATGTTGTTCCTACTCTTTTTTCTTTTCTTCCCTCCTTTTAAAATATAGTTTTCACCAGTCCAGGCCCCACTGTAATATCACCTGAGAGAGTCAGGACAAAGTTTTTGCATTTATAAAGATATGTTCCTGTAAGGGCAATTGCAATGGAAGCAAAAGTACAGTAATCAAGTATTGAAAGAAACTTTTGGAAAGACTGGAGTGTATTATAGCTTGTGGAAAGACAGAAGGCTACAGACTAGATACAACATTCTTGTTTTCTTGGAGGAACTCACATACACACAGCTGACCTGACTAGTACTTCAGATTTCAGACTGCTCTTCCACAGCCTTCTGTAAGGTTCTTTATTCTGCAAAAGGGAAAAACAAAAAAAAAAAAGAAAGAAAAAAACAAAAAACAAAACAAAAAACAAAAAAAAACACAAAAAAACATAAAAAAACACAAAAAAAACAAAAAAGCAAAACAAAAACAAAAAAAACAGAAAACAACAAACAACAAAAAAGAATTCAAACACAAAATAGTGACTGTTATTTCAGTGTGTCCTTCATGTGAAAGCTATTAAGGACCAAACCTACTACTGTGTGTAAGAAGAAATTACTTCCTAAACAGTAACTGAAAATAGTTAGTTAAACTTGCTGTGGATTTTGTCTTGGCAGTTGTCATCTTACATTATTTGTCAAAGGAAATGTGTTTGGCAGTTAAAAATCTTTCCTTAGATTTAGTGGTGGACTTTAACCTCTTAAATAAATGTTAGTATATCAGATTGTGTCCTTGAAAAATATTTTACTTGTATGAATCATGACAATGTCTAAATCTTTACTATTCTTCTGGCAAAAGCATCGGTAAGAAAGAAGGTGAAAAAGAGAAGTATAGCCTTTACCGTCAGAAAAATATTCTTTTTAGCTGCTTACTTTCTCATGAAAAGTAAAGATGTTTACAGTGTATGCCAAGATTTTCAGTTTCTATATAACAACAGTTAGAGGTTCTAATCATACTGAAAATTGTGTTATAATGGCCTGAGCCGTGTTGCTAGGAAACAATAGGTCCCAATTTTGTATTCCTGCTCTCACTCCTGTGCTGAAAAGTGACTGGATACTGTACAGGTTCATGTTCTCTGGCTGCAGTTAAATGGTCTTTTGCATTTTGCTCTGGCTTTCAGGCCAGAAGCATGCATTTTTCTACAAGAGCATCACAACAACATGCTGTAAATATTTAAAGTTAAACATTATGTGTCGATATTTGAAAGAAAAAAGTACTTTGAATATTTCATTTTTAAAAAATAAAATTGCAAACGAACGGTGTGTCCCATGTTATTCATGCGCCAAACTGCATTCTCAAGTATGTCTGGTCACCTGAGATATGAAAAGTAGCTCCCTAACAGGGAACAATAAAACCGCATCATCTTGAAAATGTAGGTGCAGAAATCAGAAAGGCACTAATCCTAAGCAGATGTCTCTTCATTTTTATTTTTCACACAAACAGGATCTCTGCCACAAATGCCCATTTAATAAAAAAAAAAAAAAAGAAGACGAAGAGTAGCTGTTGCAAGTTTAAATGCCTCTAGGCTATTACTTTGAAAAAGGTTTCTTCTGTTGATGACTTTCTGAGCAATGGAAAGAAAATAAAGAATTGCAAGACGGGTTGGGGAGAGCTAGGAGAGCCGGGCACCCAGATGCATTGGCAAAAAAGTGAATGGGGGAGAAAGTCGGGGGCGGGGTGGAGGGGGACTGAAAAAAAAAGAAAACAAAAAAAACAGCTCTCACATACTGGGCCATTACAATGGCCATTTGGTACTTTTCACAAGAAGGTATTTACAAGTGACACTGGGAAAGCAAGGCAGATAGATCTTGCAAAATTCAACTTGGTGGTAATGGGACACCCATAGTCCAAACAAGTTGCTTGTTCCCAAAAGTTGCTTAGAATTCTGGAATTTGGGGCGCCTGGGTGGCGCAGTCGGTTGAGCGTCCGACTTCAGCCAGGTCACGATCTCGCGGTCCGGGAGTTCGAGCCCCGCGTCAGGCTCTGGGCTGATGGCTCAGAGCCTGGAGCCTGTTTCCGATTCTGTGTCTCCCTCTCTCTCTGCCCCTCCCCCGTTCATGCTCTGTCTCTCTCTGTCCCAAAAATAAATAAACGTTGAAAAAAAAATCTTTAAAAAAAAAAAAAATAAATAAATAAATAAAAAAAAAAAAAAAAGAATTCTGGAATTTACACCACTCTCAGATGCCCTGCTGCCTTTTTTTAATGCCTTTTTTTTTTTTTTTTGAACTAGAGCGAGCACGAGCAAGGAAGGGACCGAGAGAGACAAAAGATCTGAAGGGGACTGTGCACTGACAACAGAGAGCCCGATGTGGAGCTCAGACTCACAAAATGGGAGGTCATGACCTGAGCCGAAGTCAGATGCTTAACTGACTGAGGTACCCAGGCGCCCCTTACACAGCGGTCTTCCCTTAGCCACGGTTTCACTTTCCACAGTTTTCAGCTACCCGCGGTAACCTACAGTCCAGAAGCAGAGGACCCTCCTCCTGACATACTGTCAGAAGGTCAATAGTAGCCTAACGCTATTATCACAAGCCTATGTCATTCCCCTCGCTTCATCTCATCACATAGGCGTTTTCTCATCTCACATCACCACGAGAAGAAGAGTGAGTACAGTACACTAAGAAATTTTGAGAGAGAGACCACATTCATGTAACTTTCATGTCAGTATATTGTTATAATTGTTCTCATTTGTTATTGGCTATTGCTAATCTCTCGCTGTGCCTAATTTATGAATTAAACTTTGTCACGGATATATATGTACATATAGGAAAAAACATAGTATACATAAGATTTGGTACTATTCATGGTTTCGGGCATCCATGGGGGTCTTGGAATGCGTCCCCCCCGCATCTGGGGGAGGTGGGGACTACTGTACACAGATACAGTGAAAAGAGTCACGGAGCAGAAGACAATCTTATTGTTTCAACACAACCAATCAGCAAAAAGCAATGGTGTCAGTGGAGGGGTGGGAATATTAGTATCACCTGGTCATTTTTTTTTAAATAGCCATCCCACCCCACCCTCAGAGTACAAAAAGAAAGAGGCAAGGGATGCCTGGGTGGCTCAGTCGGTTAAGCACCCGACTCGATCTACGCTCAGATCATGATCTCATGGTTCATGGCTTCGAGCCCTACATCAGGCTCCACGCTGACAGTGCAGAGCCTGCTTGGGATTCTTGCTCTTTCCTCTCTGCCCCTCCCTTTCTCGTGCTTTCTCTCTCTCGAAATAAATGAACAAAAACTTAAAAAAAAAGAAAAAGAGGCAGGAGCTCCTACATTGAGACAATTATTAAAGGAGATAGATTTCTCCATATTCCTTCCCTATTCACCCTCACTTTTAGAGATCTTCGAATATCAATGCTATTTAAATGTTTAGTAATATTACTACCTTAAATTTATATAATTCTAGTACCTGAGTAATCCTGGGAGGTGAGCGAGACTTCATTTTTCCAACGTGGCAAACGCAACAATGGTAACAGACTGACTTACCTAAGACCACTCGAATAATCTGACAGAGCTGAAAAAAATTCAGATCTCGAGTTTATGTTGATGGGCTCTCTCCAGTCAATCAGTTTTCTTGTATCTTTCTACATAAGAATATTCATTTAAGAGGCAAATGGCCTAATGGTGACAATTCAGCGTTTTACTACAAGTTTGGCCAATGACCCCAAATTACATAAGTGTCCAAACTAGGTAGTTTAACTTCACACCTAGCTGCAAACCCTCAAATAATGGGATCCCATTTACTGCAAGGACAACCATAGGGGACGACGTTGAATTTATAGCTCACGCATAGGAAGACTAGGCATCTTGTAACCTTGAGATGCTCAAGGGCAAATCTGGATTTTATTATTAATAGACTCTGGATTCTGAACTCAGTAAAGTGAATCAAATAAAACGTGAGCTGATGTCTAAACCTTAACAGATTTTAAAACTATTTTCTCACATTTTTAATTCTCTATCCATTCTACCGCAAATAACATCTTAAACCCAACCCTTCATTTACACTAGAAGTCTTAATCAGAAGCATCTTCTATAGACTTATTCTACCTATGTACTACCACAAAGCTTACTTGCTTGTAATAGCCAAACTGACTATTACCTAAGCTTGTCTCCCTTACTGACCTTATCTCTTAAGAACAAACTTCAGAGGAAATGAATGACTATTTGATAAACTGTCATGTTCTTGTGGGCTTGCTGACACAGTTTTTTTTTCTGAAGAAAGGTGTACACTTGGAAATATATGTGCATTTTTCTATCTTGACTCAGCATCTTACAGGTATATGTTAGCATGGCAATATTTTAGATATGGCAAGGATATGACCTTTCTGTAAAGGCACAAGCTATTATGTACTGGGAAATAGCAAGAAAGCTTATGCTGGGAGAGAAAAGGTGGAAAAAAAAATTATGAATAAAAGGCCAGCACAAGAAGATAGTGGACTGGAAAATTTGACAGTAGGAAACTCACAAAAGCACTTACCTTTTTCAGGGAATCTGTCCAATAAGATAAGTAAGATGGCCCTCATCAATGCTTTCATATATTAATAGCATCTATCTCTCAATATTTTTAAAAATATTTTAAGACAAATTAGGTAAATAAAGCTTTCAAATACTTTATTAAAATATGAAAGACCATTCATGATTCAAAAAGGCTTTTTCAAAAAAGACTCTGGTAAAGAAACATGCAAACATAATTCATATATTTAGGATTATTCCAGAATGAACAAGTTAGAGTAAAAATTAGTTATGCCTATTAAAATTTAAACCCAAGCCACAAATAAGGAAAAATTATCTAAACATACACATTTGGTTTTGAAAGTCAGCTTTCCGAATTCCTTTACAAGTTAAAGTGATCCTTTTATTTCTAGAAATGGTAAATTGCCCACAATACACGATCACGGCCAACCTCCACCTTTGCACTCCCACTGCATCCATGCTAAATGCTCAGAAGCCAGATCTTGCCAATGCACGGAGAGTAGCTCTGTCTCTCGGCAGCTCATCAAGCTCACCCCCACTCATGTAAAAGCCAGAATTCCGATTTATTAGTTTACAATAGAATTTAGCATTTTGCTACAGGCCATGGACCAGAGTATTTATGTTGACTCATTTGGCCTCTAACAACAGATCTACCTGCACATTGGGAACCTCACTTACCATGTGCTTATGACTTTTCATTGTCTTTTTTTTTTTTTGTCTTTTCGTGTTACTTTTTAAAATCGTTATTGTTTTCTTGTCCAACTAGACAGTGCACTGCCTAAGCACAGGGACTGGGGGTTTTTACTTCTCTACCTCAGTGCCTATTCTGTTTGTTGAGTGAATGAATTCCAGGAGCCCTGAAACAGCTTAATATATAATCAAATCACAAAAGTCATGAAAATATAAATGTGGCCAGAAAAATATAAATATCTGTCACTGTGTAAAATCTTGGCTCTCAGGTTGCCATCACTTGAAACTGTTGAGAAATAACATAACCATAAGGTTTCCAATGCTTTGGTGGGGCTAATAGGGAGACCACTTGTAAATCAGCTACTCATGAGTCCAGATGCCGAAGCTTCCTCTCAAAATTAGGTTTTACACGGAGTAGCAACAACTGGGGCAGAGGTAGATGGTAAAAAAAAAAAAAAAGTCTATTTCATTGGATTTGTGTAATTTCAATTATAACAAACGTTTAGGGCATATTTTAAATTATGGGATTTTTAAACTCCAGATTGGTCTGTGGATTCTACTATCCAATATCAGAACACTAGGCAAGAAGGTTGCTTTCAGAATTAAACAGAAATTCTTCACTCTTTATCTAGTACTTGTTTTAACACACAGTGCACAACTTCAGAAATTCCCCTTAAGGGTCTTCACCACCATAACTAGTAGAGAGCATTATACCTAATTAGAACCACGCACGACAAAGACAAGGGACACGAACCAGCTTCCTGACATCTAATCAAGCAAGACATCTTAGAATCAGTAGCTGTCAAATAATATTTCACTAAAAATGGTGCTTTTGAGAAAAACTGAGGGTTATTTTTATTTGTATTTGGCAAGAATTGACATTAATCTTTTATAAGGTATCACTGTGTTTTGAATCATTTCCCGTTCGTAAATACAACTGAAAATAACCTGTGGAATTCTTTTTTTCCCAGTCCTCATTTCAAAGCTCCTCATTATCGGCAAAGTCCATTTCAGCTTTTACATCATGCTAGATACTTCCATTACAGGACGATGATGGTTTTAGAAATACATTTGTAACTCACTGAACTGTATTATCTACAATATATAAGACTTAGCATATATTTAAATTATAGAAAATAAAGTAAAGGTATTTTATTTTCCTTCATGGTGCTTTCAGGAAGACATCAGGATCTTCTCTTCTCCCTAAAGAAAAATAATAACAAAAATCAAGAAAAGATAAACTTACAAGCTATAAACTTGAACAGGTTAACTTGAACTTATAATCAATCATAACATTTCCAAAGGCATAAAGCTCACAAAGACACAACACAGTGATATAGCTCAAGCAACCAGTACTTAAAACTGAGTTGTAGGAGCACTTGGGTGGCTCAGTCGGTTAAGCGTCCAGCCCTTGATTTTGGCTCAGGTCATGATCTCACAGTTCATGGGATCAACGGCCGCATTGAGCTCCATGCTGACAGTGCAGAGCCTGCCTGGGATTCTCTCTCCCTCTCTCTCCGCCCCTCCCTCACTCTCTTTCTCTCAAAATAAATAAACATTAAAAAAAAGAAAAGAAAAAAACTGACTTATAAAGAATGGAATACTGAGCAGAAAGGAATAGTTTGTAACTGTAGTTTGTAATTTGTAAATTGTAGTTCTATTTACATTTCTATTACAAAGGCTAACTACTCATTAATTTAATTCAGCACTTAAGTCTAATTGTCGGTTTATGGCTAAGCCTTGGTCCCTGTCAAAAAAGGACATAACAACTGATTTTTTTATCACAAATATGCCTTGTTTCAATCAAGGCATATCCTCTTAGTCCAAACAAGTGATTAACCCCTTTCAACAGATGAGTAAACAATCACATATCTGCTAAGTGTAGACATTGTCCGGTATTCTGTCGGTAGCTTAATACATACACTAAAAGAGCTTTGCTCAGGAGATGTAACAATTTGTGCCTATGGCATCATAAAGTGTACTAATTCAATTTCCTTTTGCTATGATAAAATTTCATTAATTCAAGCACCACAAATTCAGAACTTAGGATGGCATGGGCCAAGCTAACATTAGCTTTTCCATCCCTGAAGGGAAAATACAGTTCCCTGAGCAAAGGTAAAGGACGGCCCGGGTGTTTTCCAAACTGTCCCATCTTTCATTTGTTTGTGTCCGAATCAGTGAAGGGAAACGGTACTTCCGTTTTGACAAAAGGGACTACAGAGAATAAGACAGGAAAGGACGAGTTTGCATGTGGGCTCCTAGAATTTGTTATACTTTCCCAGAGTTTTATTAGGAGCGTACAGTATAGCATATTGAAACCATAGCACGTGAGTAGCCCCCTCTCACTTGATTGGCTGGCAATACCCACTGCATGTTTCTTACAGAACTTCCCATAACTCTGTGTTTGTGAATAGGTTAACTTCTAACCCCGAGCCTCCAAACCCTGTCGAAAACTAACAGTAAACCTTACCTGCAGTACCTTGTGCGTTTCTAACTGAGCACTTCTTCTCAACTGGATACTGCAGAGGTATTACAATACCTTGATCTGGCTTCTGAAATGCTGAAATGAGATTTTTTATTTTCCGGAAAAATCTTTTATGGACCCCGGGGGCCGTCTGGAAAATAAAAGGCCGAGCAAATTATTCACGTACCTCCTAATGATACCAGTAGGCCTACGAAATGCGTGAGGGATGCTTAGAAAGGCAACATTTGTGTGACCTGTTCAAATATTTGAAAACATCAGGAAAAAGGAAACAACAACATTTCTAGAAGAGCTTACTTTGGTTGGCTGAACTTCCCTGCAAGAGGAGCTAATGAGCTGTCATTTCAGTTCTCCCGGGGGTGGTATTAGTTTGTACAAGCTCTTGCTCATCGCCCTGCCCTTCCTGCCTGCTACCCATCATACATCCCGAGCCTCTAAGGCTATACAGGCCATTACCCACAATGAATGCACCAACAGAGAGGATGCAGTTAAATACAGAGAAAACACAGATCGTACAGGTCATTAATAAAAAGCCTGAGAAACCAAACAACCACCACCACCACCAACCCATCCTCCCTGTCATCATTCCACAATATAAAGTGCTATACAGGAAATTAAAAATTGACTGTAAGGATACACACAACGCACAGCTAGTTAGTCCTTCTCTCTCTCTCCCCTCACCATATGTCCTGCTTCATCCTTCACAGGAAATATTTTCCTCCTCGGGAAACTTCCCTATCCTCCCCAAAACTGCTCTCCGCCAACACTTCACCGTGACAAGGTTTTCTCTCTGACACGAAAATGAAAGACTATCTAAGGTCACCTTTATTTATTTGTTTGTTTGCTTTTGAAGGGATCATTATTTGCAAGAGACTATTAAAATGTATTCCTTTCCCGACATCAACTCGCTTGCAAAGGCATGGCTGAAATCAACAACAATTTCCTGCAAAAGCTGATGAGCCCAGCTTCAGGCAACAGCTCAAAACTGTCATTTTACATAAAATAAAACAGTATTGCTATAAGCGGTTGAACAATGACTAGGTTTTTTTTAGAAAGCTGTTTTCCAGCGATTCCATCTGCAAGGCTCTTGAGGTGGGAGCTGTTTGTTTGTTAGCATTTAATGAGAAAAAACTGAAGGCTGGCCTGAAATCTTTAGCCCAACTACACTAAAAGCTGAAGACAGCACACCGTCTATAGTAACTCCCTCATTTCCTCCAATGGGGTAAGGGATCTTTCTTTGAAAGCATCGAAAAAGTTCTTTTCAGCTTTAAATTAGTGTCACTCACAGGCTCGCACAGCTCGGAGCCTCAGTAGATGTAGAACACTCTCGCACTCGGCTCCACCCCTTGGGTCAAAACACCTTCCCAGAACTCCACTTGAGACCTCATCCAAATCACCACGGCCATTCTTCCAGGGCTCCAAACAGTTTGTGGGCTCCTAGACAGAATCTCTAAATTGCACAGGCAGGTCACAGGCACAAAATACCTCCTTATATCCCCCTTAGAGCACTTTTTCATTTCAAAGCACTTTCCTGTGATTTGCCTCCACTATTTCCTCACCCATTGGCAGTGACTGGCTGATTTGGTTATTCCCATCTGACAGATAAGAAAATGCGAATACAAAGGGATAATTCAGCTTGCCCAAGGTCACACACATAACCAGAAGTAGAATTGACTCCGGATCCCAGAACCTAGTCTTTTGTCTTTCAAGCCAACACCCACAATAAATTCACCAACAGAGACGATGAGACCAGACAGTTTCTAGAGAAGTTTGAGTCACCAGCCAGAAGAGAAACTATACACTCCCTCAGTGTGGAAATATTTCAAACCACACATCATTTTAGCTGTTCTTGTGGCTTGTAAAACCATTTATCAACAGAAGCATCTTTTTTATGGGGACTTATATGTAGTTAACACTTGATTACCCACACTAACAGAAAGGAATAATAGCACTGGATGTGTAATTTGAATTTGGGATGCAATGTTTTGCTGGCAAATGACTGCCCTAATTTATAGCGTTTTGCTTAGGTTAATAAGGGAAATTATTTAGCATCTACTGATGATCAAATATCCAGAAAAGCCCAAAGCACTGAAGTCCACGGGGGGAGGTTGGTACATTTTTTTTACAGTGTACTGATGACAACGCACATATCAATAAATGATAATTGATTGTGTGTAGAATTCTCTAAATTAACCATTTAGCAAAATTTTAGCTTGAGTCAACAAGAGATAAGTTAACACACTAAGCAATGATAAAACCTAAAAGTCTTTCTAAAAGTAGGAATTTACACAATGTGTGTCTTTCATAATTCGGTGGATCCGGGTTCAAATTTCATTCCACTCTTTGAAACAAATCCCAGACTTACTTAGATTTCTAGCACAATCTTTGCGCAGAGGATGGAGTGTTACTGCCATGATTTTTCCTGCAGTGTGGCAAACCAAAGCATTGCACCAAAAAGCAGTATAAACATCTGTCATTTAACCAATTTTGAAAACACGTTCGCCATAAGAATTGTACCACTGACAACTCCCATTCTGCCACTGAACTTGGCTATTGTTCAAATTTGCACCTTTCCCATACTGTCATCTCTTTACTTATCCATGGAAACATGCTTTGGATCACAGCTGGTCTTCAATATGCTCTAGAGAAATTTCTTCCAGTCAGGTGATATGAGCTCTGAGAGTACACACTAGTTTAATATTCCCTTAGCAAAAACATAACTAGGAAAGCAAATTTAGTAGATGGGAAGAAAATGCAATATGCATTTCAAAAATAAATCTAAAGCATTTTTTAAAACTGTTTTCCCCTTTGGAGAAAACATGCCAATCTTCTGCTCTCCTGGTGCAGATAATTACAATATTATTATATAAACGGGGTCAAACCAGACAACAGGATGAAAGGACATTTATGTCCAATAAGCCCTTTCTCCCTTAACATGATCATAAACATGTAACAATCTGCATATGATGTTATACTCGAAATAGAAGAAAACAAATTTAAAGACAAGATTAGCTAAACCCTAATAATTTAAGATCCTTTCCATAGAGTATTCTTCAGCAGCTGAAGGCTACTTCTCTAGGGAGAAGGGCTTTTTCTACTCAGATTGTATACATATATATATATGTACATAGCAACACAATTATGCTTCATAATAAATGAAATTTAATTTCTTATTCAATCATCTCTGCAGCGATACAGAGAATTTTTAAATATAAACAGGTATAGTTTTGATTAGAAATGGTACTGCTTTTCCTCTAATTAGTATTATAGTATTATCTGTGATAATAATAAATTAAGTATTAATTGTAATTATTATTAATAATAAATTCTTTACTATATAGAGCATCAATGTGTTTGAAAACTTGCCCTCAATTTTCATCTCTGTAGTTCAACACATTTGTAGTCTGCAACTTGGGCTTTCTAGTTTACTGATGAATTTGTAAAGTTGCAGCTATTTAAGTCTAGACTTTAGAATTTCTTAAACACGCAGATTGAATTATTAACAGGAGATATTCCCATTAATGTTTTCAAATCACCCATAATGAAGTGCTTTCATTATAAGGACAGACTGTTTCTAAGGAGTCCAAAATCAGAGAAAGCATTTGAGGTCAAAAGGTTCAGTTGCTGAGACCTCTACATCGGTGAGATGTGATATACTACCCTGGTACATGGAAATAGATTCATTCTGCAAGCATTACTTGTAATGGCATAGTGACTTTCAAATGTTTTCAAAGCCATCAGAGCCCATTTTTCTCATGAAATCGTATTCGAGCCCCAGTTGATAAGCAAAACAAAAGTGACCTGCTCAGATCAAAGATGAATCAGCGACCCAAAAGCATACCCATTTATGTCCTCCTCTCTCTCTGGCCCCCACCCCCTGGCAACCCCAAGGCACCCAGATAGAAGAACCTTAGAATTTTGTGGAGCATACCTTGAAAACCATTGCAATGTTCCCTCTAATTTCATTCTGCCTATCCATGTCCTTCCCACATGGCTCAGCTGGGAGTTTGGCCTCCATATATACAGCAGTCTTGATTACTAATACTTGAAAAATCCTCCCTTCTTTGAATCCCTATGCTAAATAACATAGCAATAAACATATACAATTATGTTGTTCAGCAATTTGGGTGAGGTCACGTTTTTTTAGGGCTTACTGTGCAGGTCCTTAGGCTAAGAGCTTTCTTTATATGCATTATCTCATTTAATCTTCAAAATGAGCCCTATGAGTAAGGAACTATTTTTAGGCTCATTTCACAGATGGAGAGATCTGTTCAAAGAAAAGTTAAGTGACCTGCCCAAGGTCATAGACCTGTCAGGGAGGAGGGGGGGGCCAGACCTGGAACCCAGATATAGCTGACAACAAACTCTGAGCTCTCACATCGCTATTTAATTCATGTTGTATCTATCTCCCTAAGCATATTATAGGCTCTTAGAAAACAGGAGTTCACTTTGTTTAATCCACTATAGAACCAACACACATATTGGTATCATTTGGTAAATAATTGCTTATTTAATCATTTTACATACTTTGTATATGCTTTCCAAAATTTTGCATAGGCACTAAAAGTTTGACACAATCCTTCAACTTTTTTTATCTTTCCCCCAAAGTGAGACCATTCTATACAATGGTGGCTGAACAGAACTGGAACAAAAATTCTCTAAAGCCTTCTTAATGATCCATGAACAGTTTTGGGTTGGAGCTTTAGTGATTTGAATTTCATGAATATTTGGGAAATGTAGGATTTGACAACTCTTTTATAAAATGAGCCTAAATTTCAAACACCTCCCTGATATCCCCAGAAGCAAAAAATAAATAAAAGAGCTATACCTCAGCACTCCAAGAACCTGTTTCTGTCTGGGACACTCGGTATGTATAAATGTAACCTTGATACCTGCGAAAGAATAAACCTCCATTACTGAAAAATTCCAAAAGAACAACAGATGCTCTAAATTTGAGCTTAACGATTACATATGAATGTTACATATATTGGGACACACATATATGGTACCATTGCATTCGTAGGAAGAAAAGCTTGGGGGCTCTGATTTGCTTGCATATTATATCTGGCTAATCACAGTTTCCAGAGAGCCTTCTTTATCTTTTCCTTTTTTTAAAATGTATGAGCTCAGAGGGCACCTGGGTGGCTCAGTTAAGTGTCTGACTCTTGATTTCAGCTCAGGTCATGATCTCACGATTGTGAGCTCGAGCTCCACATCGGGCTCTGTGCTGAGCATGGAACCTGCTTCAGATTATCTCTCCTCTCTCTGCCCATCCCCAGCTCACATACTCCCTCTCTCTCAAATAAAAATAAAATAAAATAAAATAAAATAAAATAAAATAAAATAATCTTCTTTATTAATTTTTTTAACGTTTATTTTTGAGACAGAGAGAGACAGAGC